TCAGTGTTACCCATGTACATACAACATGCATCAACAAACTGATTGAATCAGTGTTACCTCATGTACATACAACATGCATCACAACTGATCAGTGTACCCATGTACATACAACATGCATCAACAGACTGCATTGATCAGTGTCACCCTATTGTACTATACAACATGCATCACAACTGATGATCAAAGTGTCACCCATGTCATTAACAACATGCATGCACAACTGATTGATCAAGTGTCACCCATAGTTACAACAACATGCCATCACATACTGATTGCATCAGTGTCACCCATGTACATACAACATGCATCACAACTGAATCAGTGTTACCCATGCTACATACAACATGCCATCAACAACTGATTGTAATCAGTGTCACCATGTACATACAACATGCATAGCACAACTGATTTGATCAGTGTCACCCATGTACATACAACATGGCATCACAACTGAATCTGATCAGTGGTCACCCATGTACATACAACATGCATCACAACATCGATCAGTGTACCATTGTAGCATACAACATGCAATCACAACTGATAGTGCCTCACCATTGTACATGACAACAGTGCAATCACAACTGATCAGTGGCCACCCGTGTAATACAACAAGATTCCCACAACGATGTGATGCAAGGTGGTCACACATGTACATACAACATGGCATCACAACATGATTGATCAGTGCCACCCGTGTACATACAACAAGCATCACCAATGTACCACATCCGTCATAACTGTTCAATGAACGTATGTACCACATGTGCACGACTGGTCAGTGAACCTATCTATTGTTCAACATGCATCACAGCTGTTCAGTGAACCTTTGTCCACATGTATGCATCAGAACTGGTCAGTGAACCTATGTACCACATGTATGCATCAGAACTAGTCACTGCACCTTTCTATCACATTTATCACAACTGTTCACAGAACGGTTTAGGCCTTATAGAACATGCATCGTAAAAAACTATACAGTGCACGCACATTCCACATAAATTACGATCGTTCAATCCACTCACGTACATATAATAAATTAACAACAGTGCAGCGCACTTACATGGTAAATATAATACAACTCCACAGATAATTTTACATGTGGATCATAAACACCTTACTGTTAGCCTCATAGGGTCTATGTCCCCCAGGTACTGCCGACGTACTCCTTGGTTACAGTCTAGGTATACCGGAAACGTACCCTGGTCAATATTTTATATGGTTAGCGGTTAGGATAGGAGTTTCAGCGTTAGGATTAGCGGTTCGGGTTTCGTTTGGGTAGGGAGTAGGCGTAGGCGACTCCCATAGACTCGTTAAGTGGAGTAGGCGAGGTACGCGTCCCGGCATAATGAGATAGTACCAGGCGTACGTTCCGGTATTAACCCCACCGTACCCAGGTACGTTCCGGCAGTACTCCGGGGGACATAGACCCGACCTCAGCCTTACTGTACACTAACCAAGTACACAAGTGTACGTCACAACTGTACTGCCCACTTGCGTACAGTGCTCCGGTCGCATCAGCAAAGCTCATCAACCGTTGTACCATCGCCCTACTCCCACAATGCTAGATCATATCCATGACCTGGCAGAGCGGCCGACGGCCTCGACTCATCAGCACAGAACCCACATATAACGTGCTCTTCCTTCACGCTCTAAACGGGTCCTTAAATGTCAACCCAGCGCTAACGCCTAATCCTAACCTAACCACATAAGAATTACGCGACCCGGAACGGGTTACCACTTCCTCGGCGTACGGGGTCCTAGCCGTGAAGACTGTAACCACGGTATATACGCTCCGTCACGGTCACCCTCGAACTATTTGATATGGTATATCCATGGGGTACCGAGTATGTATAACCCTTATAGACGTACCGCGAAACATCCCTAGACTCTGGGGTTATGATCCACACTTAAATAGTTCATGTTGGGGAGTCAGTGATAGGCGTAATATACCATGTAATGTAGCCGGTCCGGTGCACATTGGTTCTTCGGATTTAATATATACCATTGAGTATGTACGTTGAACGGGATGAACGATCGTTAATTTAGTGGAATGTGCGTGCAGCTGTATAGTTTACGCATGTTCTACCAACCTACGTCTTGAACAGTGGATAAAGTCGCATAGAAAGGTGCAGTGACTATTCTGATGCATACATGTGGTACATAGTCACTGGCACCAGTTCTGATGATACAATTGGACAAAGGTCACTGAACAGCATGTGATGCATGTTGAAACAATAGATAGGTTCACGACCATCGTGCACATGTCAGGTACAACGTTCATTGAACATTATCGTACGATGTGGTACATTGTGATGCTTTTTTATGTACATGTAACATACTCAATCAGTTGTATGCATGTTGTATGTACAGCCGGGACACTGATCAATCAGTTGTGAGTGTTGTAATGACACGGGTGGCACTGATCAGTCTGCATGCCATTTGTATGTACATGGGAGGCACGATCAGTTTGAGCATGTTGTATGTACTGTAACACTGATCAGTGCTGATGCCATGTGTAGGCTACATGAGTGACACTGACTCAAATCAGTTGGAGTGCATGTTGTATGTACATGGCTGACACGATCAACAGTTGTATATGCATTTGTATGTACATGGGCTGACACGATCAATCATTTGTGCATGTTTATGTACATGGTAACACTGACAGTTGCAGCATGTTGATATGCTACTGGGCCCACACTGATCAATCCAGTTGTGATGCATGGATGTACATGGGTGACACACTGATCAACATTTGTGATGCACTGTTTATGTACATGGCTGACACTGAATCAATCATTGATTATGCATGTTGGTCTGTACATGGTACACTGATCACTCAGTTGTATGCCATGTGGTATTTACATGGGTAACACTGACAGTGTTGATGCATGTTGAATGTACCATGGGTAACACTGATCAATCAGTTGTAGCTATGTTGTATGTTAACCATGGGTAACACTGATCAATCAGTTGCTGATGCAGGTGTATGTACATGGGTGGCACTGATCAGTTGTTGAGCATGGGGAGTACAGTGGTAACACTGATTCAAGCAGTGGGGATGCAGTGACGGACGGGAACACGATCAATCAGTGTGCAGGGGTACCAAGGGCGACCACTGACAAAGCAGGTGGGATGCAGTTGGATGTCACAGGTAACACGCAGCAAGCAGGGGCTGCAGATGGGGATGGACAGGGGTTGACACGGATCAGAGTGAGGCAGGTGAGGGACAGCTGGGCCACGAGCAACAGGTAGATGCCCCGCCACACCCAGTTCGGCAGTATCCTGGTCTACCCATCACGCCTCATGCACACATTCTTGTATGTGTACTGAAAGTTGTGCAGTATGAGGGCTCAATCAATGCTGAAATTATGACTGAAAGTAGGTCAGTCACGCCTGAAGGGGTCGTTGTCGTATATGTAGTACCCGACGGGTGTCGGCAAAGTATGTCGCCCTACGCCTACTAGCCTAAGCCCTAACCTCCGAACCCTACCATATCAAATAGTCTTTACCTCGGGTACATATATACGCCATTATACGACAACGACCCTTCGCTGCGTCAGTCACTGAAGGCCCGTTGTCCACTCACATAAATCAGCTTGGTGACCTAGTTTTGGCGTCAGGTTCAAGGTTTCGGGCTCAGGGCACTGGCTTTCAGATGTGTTGTTGGTATTGTTTGAAATGTTCTGCAACCTGGCAGAGCATTGAACAGGAATGAACGTCGTCGTGGATATTGGGTGTCGCTATATACATGACGCTAGCTTATATCTGTAAGAAATTTGCCAGGAAAGCAAGGCGAGCGAGTTCGTGATCGCTAATGAAAAGAAAGATTTGATACATCAAGTAGGCGACGAATGGAACCAGAAGGGTCTAATGCCCCCCTCTTTACCGCTCCCCTTTTCTTTTTGCTGCCTCCTGTCAACTCGGCCAAGTCTTCCCCTGTGTCAAAAAAGTGCTCCACGCCCGTGTCCCTCATGTCTCAACCATCGAATTACTATTTGTTATTCTCCGCTTTCTTTTCTTCATCATGCTCTTTCGTTTCCTTCCCCTCTTTCTGATCTCATTCTCTCATTTCGTTGGCCAAATTTGAACCCCTCTCGTGCCCCTGCTTTCTCCACCACACTTAATTCTTTTATACACAATCTCTCTCCTTTTTTAACATCAGCGCTGCTCTTCTTCTCAGCATCGTCCATATTCCTTTACTTCTTCTGCATCCCTTATTCGATCCTCTTCTATGTCTTCTTTCCCCCTTACCCTCCATTCCTCTTGTTTTCTGCGCCCTTATCCCTTTTGGTCCGCTTTCAACATTTCTCCTTCCTGTTCTTCAGTCTGCTTATACTTTTCTGCTACCCTATTTACGCAGTAATTGCTATAAGCTGGCAATTCAATCTTTTTTGTTGCATGGCACGGAAAGCCAATGATCAGTTGACGCGTGATTACGGAGGCTTTTTGTCGCCCGGGCCCATTCATCCCTGACATTTATTCTGGATGCATATATTATTATTGCCTCAGGTGTGACATATTCACGTTGTGCCACCAGTATGTACTGGTTCAACTGCCATGCAAGTAGTGTGTTCCTATACTCCTGTACCTGCTGTAGGGTCCGTCTTGGTGGCTTTCCATACTGATGTAGCATTTGTGGTGCAGTGTGCTTTGCTGTGATATTGTTTTTTTCTATTGGTTCTGGCATCACGTGTCGCTGCCGAGGCATGGCGCTGGCCTGATGGCTGCGCTTGCTGTGGTAGTATCTGTTCCAAACTTTAGTGCTTGTTACCTCGGGGACTTAGTATTCCACTAGTCAAGTTAAGTTATCTATTCATAGTAGGGTTTCGCAGCATTTATGTTAACGGTCTACGAGAAAAAGTTAACCTGTTAACACTAATTTTGTTTCTGACGACGGGCCCCTGGCATCTACACCGTGCTTACTATCTATACTATCTACTATCTACCTATCAGGCTTACAACATCGTATCACCCGCTCATCATTCACATCCCACCTCTTTCATCTTGTAGAAGTCGATCGAAGGCCGGTGTTTCTCCTTCGGCCGTCGCCGCTTGATGCCGTACTTCTTCTCGGATACGCATGGCTGCGAGCGCGTCCTGGATAGGCGTTGTGCGCCCGCGCACTTACATGCTGCTCGCCGTGCACAGTTTAGCGAAATGTGGTCCTCTGCAACAAGCAGACGTCACATATATATATATATATCGTTTGCGATATCGATGCGCTGCCCTTTTGATCATTTTATGTAAAAAGGCGCAATATAAATAATATTAATAATAATACACGCCTGGAGAAACGGGTATAAAACATATGACGTGATGAGCATCTCTTAAAAAATACGTCACAGACTCACGTGAGAATCTGACAGACACGCTCTGGTACACTGTCGACAGACAGGAGCGCTGCCACCTGCCCGTGTGTGTGTGTGTCTCTATGCAAACACTCAAGCAGCTACCCTGTAAGTAACACTTACCAGACAGAGACAGGCTGCGTATCTTGAAGTGGTCCTCGTCAGTGGCGCAGTCCAGAGGTCGAGACAGCTTAGCACTGAAGTCGTAGGGTTTGCTGGCAGCAGAAGCTGGTCGAGGAATCGGTGACCCACTGGGACTCGCTCCCACCTTGCCCTGAAAGACACGAAAGCTTACTCACAAGCTCGCTCACACGCCTGCGTTTCACGAGGCACGAAAAGCCGTACCGCCATTGCAATGTTGACGAATGCTAGAGTAACTGGCACCTTGTGTAGTTAATAAGTACATTACCTTATAGCCAAACGCGTATTAGTTTGTCCAATATCACTGCTGGTTACTAAGAAATGTCTAATTGAAATCCGCAGTCCAAGAAATCAGTTGACTGAGTTGTCGCTGCCGCTGCCGGCAACCGCCGGACTGCCGGAAACCGCTGCCGGCGAAGCGGGTGTGATACATATTTATAGTGCACCGGACATTTTCGCACGCATGCTCGGCCGCACGCAATGCTATCATCAGTGATTTCGTAAACACGGACGCTCGTGATAAGGAACTTTTTGTCAGGGCTGTCCATGTGCGTCCGTGATTAGTACGTGTGTTTTACTCCATTTCCATGTTTAGTCCGTGGCCGTGGTTACACAGCTGACACCTCCATTTCATCTAGCGTCCAAAACATACAGGCCGCACAAATGTTTACGTCATCAGCGACTTATCGCTGGACTCCTGGATGACATTTACGGCACGTAAATGAATATCAACAACCGATTTCAAGTCTTTCTTGTAATGTAACCAGCAGTGATATTGGACAAACTAATACGCGTTAGGCTATAAGGTTACGTACTTATTAACTACACAAGGTGTCAGTTACTCTAGCATTCATCAACATTGCATAATCAATGAACATATTATTCCTTTAAGTATGGAAGGTGAGACATAAGGTCACCATGGCATGCAAACAGTTCATTGCTCAAAAGCAGAGTGATTGATTGATTAACAGGACTGATCGATAAATAACAGTTGGCACATTATAATTTGTACCTGTTCTGGCATGTCACCGAAATGGGCAGCCATATGGCTTGGTTCTAGTGGAGAACTAGCAATAGTGTTCAACTCGGGGTGTGCTATGGTTGGTCGTAGACACTGAAATAAAATAAAAGGCAATTGTACAACAAAATACACGTAAAATTGTGCCCATGCTGAAGTCTACAGTTATAAGCAAAAAGATGTCAGGTGTGTATAACTGGATAACTTTACCTGGTATGTAGTGAGAAATCAATGCAAACCTAATCCAGAGTAAGCTAATAGACTTTCGCAGGTTAATATATGAAATGTTAGGTGTAACACAACGCAAGAGACATTATATTTGTTAGCAACACGATATACTTAGTTGGGGCACAGCAAAAGGTTGCAATACGACCCACATCGGGGACATACACAACACGATGTCAATAAGCTACAATGGATACATAACACAACAAACAGCTGAAACCTAATGAAGAGATGATAAATGGTGGAAACATGACACACAATGAAGAGATAAACATGATAACAACGTGACACAAAATGTAGTGATAACACACAGAGGATACATAACACACAACAAAGAAATGACACACAATGATGTAACAATGCAAGATAAAAAAAAACATGTCACACAATGAGGCGCCAACACAATAGTAAAATAACACACAATGCAGACATGACACACAGTGATATAAAAACACACAATAAGACATGTCACACAATGAAGAGATAACGAATGATTTATACATGACACGTCTTATGACAGGTGACATGTCACATAAGGATGGTGTGACACAGATTGAAATGATGACAGGAAAGAGATATATAGAGCACACACTGGAGAGACGGCATGTGTGGAGACATCGCAGACGAGAGTACCGCAATAGAAGACATGCGATGAAGACAAGACACACAATAAAAAACAAAATTACACATGACCGCGACATAACAGACGCTGGTGAGATAATACACTAAAACCAGACATGAACTCACTTGAAAGTTGTTTCGTTCAGTGGCAGTTGAACAGCTGTTAGCGAGGATGGGTGCCCAGGTAAATGCAGTCTGCAAAACAGTGTGAATAGGGTTACCATCGTGTATTTGCAATGACGCACGCAGACATTGAATCGATGCTGAATAACGAAACGTTTTCGTTAGAACGTGAAAAAAATTCCTTATTTTATTTTACATCGATCAATTCAGTGAGCTGGGACTTAATGGACCATCAGTACATCAGTGCAAAACACAACGGTGTTCGCAGAACTAATCGCCAACGTGCACATAAATTATAAGTAATGATTTTATATCAACAAAGACCGGAAACTTGATAATAACGACAACGCGCGTGCATCCATAAATCAGCAAAATTATGCTTTATGAATTCAGTTTTTCACTAAAATAACTCAGGTAATAATTATGCGCAAGGTATTTAGATTAACAACTACAGCAAAATTCCTTTTTTTTATCTAGCTCACATACGTTTCCAAGATATTGACGTTTTACAAATATATATATATATATATAAATCTAGTAAAGGTTCTGTATCAACTGCTATCATGCCGTTGTCATATGCCATAAAAATCCTATAGCATATTGTCCAAACAGAACCTTTGTAACGTTGCAGATATGCTGTAATCAGTCCACAGAATTATGTAACTGCCTGACTATCTGCCTAGCAGAGATAGACTAGGACAGCATACGTTGTTATCACCCTACAGAATTAGATAACTAATTGACTAGTTGGAATACTAGCCGAGTAGACAAGACTAAATTGGACAATACTACCCAAACAGCAGCGCAGCCATTCAGGCCACGCCATGCCTCGGCACGACACGTGATGCCAGACAAAAAAAACAATATCACACACAAGCACACTGCACCACAAATGCTACATCAGTATGGAAATGCCACCAAACGAGACCCTACACAGGTACAGGAGTATAAACACACTAGGCAGTGAGCATGTTGAACATGTACATACTGGTGCACAACGTGAATATGTACACACTAGGCAATAATAATATATGCATCCAGAATAAATGTCAGGGGATGAAATGCCGGGCGACAAAAAGCCCTGTATGAGTATGATCATTGGCTTTCCGTGCCATGCAACAAAAAATTGAATGCCAGCTATAGCATATTACTCGTAAATAGGGTTAGCAGAAAATATAAGCAGATGAAGACAAGCGAGGAGAAAGGTGAAAGAGGACCAAAGGGATAAGGGCCAGAAAACAAGAGGAATGGAGGGAAGGGGGGAAGAGACATAGAAGAGATCAATAAGGATGAGAAGAAGAAAGGAATATGGACGATGCTGAGAAGAGAGCAGGCTGAATGGTTAAAAAAGGAGAGAGATGTGTATAAAGAATTAAGTGTGGGGTGGAGAAACAGGGGCACGAGAGGGGTTCAAATTTGGCAACAAGAGAAGAATGAGATGCAGAAAGAGGGGAAGGAAACGAAAGAGCATCATGAAGAAAAGAAAGCGGAGAAATAACAAATAGTAAATTGGATGGGTTGAGACATGAGGGACAGGGTACACTTTTTGACACAGGGGAACTTGCCGAGTTGACAGGAGACAGCAAAAGAAAAGGGGGAGCGGTAAAAGGGGGCATTAGACCCTTCTGTTCCCATTCGTCCCTACTTGTGTATCAAATCTTTCTTTCATTAGCATCACGAAACTGCTCTTGCTTTCCTGGCAAATTTCTTACAGATAAAGCTAGCGTCATGATATACGACACCCAATATCCCACGACGGACGTTCATTCTGTTCAATCCTCTGCCAGTGTTGCCAGACATTTCAACAATACCACACACACTGAACCAGTGCCTGACCGAAACCTTGAACCTGACCCAAAACTAGGTCACCAAGCTGATTTATGTGAGTGGACAAGGGCCTTCAGTGACTGACGCACGAAGGGTCGTTGTCGTATAATGGCGTATAATATGTACCCGAGGTAACTATTTGATATGGTTAGGGTTAGGGTTAGGGTTAGGTAGTAGGCGTAGGCGACATACTTGCCGACACCTCGGGTACTACATATACGACAACGACCCCTTCAGCGTGACTGACCCTACTTTCAGTTATAATTCAGCATTTGATTGAGCCTATACCTGCACACACAGTACACATACAAGAATGTGTGCATGAGCGTATGGTAACCAGGATACTGCCGGAACGTACCCTGGTACTATCTAACATGCCGGACCGTACCTCGCCTACTCCACTAACGAGTCTAGGGAGTCGCCTACGCCTACTCCCTAACCCTAACCATATCAAATAGTTACCAGGGGAGCGAGGACGTTTTTGCACTTAAATTATGCTTTCTATATGTATTACAGGGTAAAAATGATTAGGCGGAAAGCGCGTGATTAGGTCATTGATGTATCAAGGGTGAAGGTAGTGTGAAATTAAGCTAAGTCTTGTGAACTGTATTCAAGGGTACGAGTAATAGGAAAGCATCTTCTGTTCAGGGTAGAGTAGGGAAAAGGCAGTCTAAGCATATTGTATTTTGTCAGTGCCTAGTAGAGTTACAGGGAAAGCTCGTCTTCTGATCAGGGTAGAGTAAGGGAACAAGCAGTCTCTTCTGTAATCGAAGCGAAGTACAGAGATAGGAAAGCAAGTCTTCTGTGTATGTCAAGAGCGTGAGGCACGGTAAGGGACAAGCCCGTCTTTCCCGTCGTATAGTCAGCACGCCGACCGCACGTAATGAGGATGGAGGAAAAGCCGTCACATAACTTATATACTAGTTATTTCGAGGGTAGAAATCATACCGGGTATATATAAGCGGGGTGCCAGCACTCTCTCTTCTCTGTCAATCTCAGGGTAGGTAGGGAAAAGCAGTCTTTCCTGCTCAGATCTATGGGGTAGCGTAGTCCGTGGAAGAGGTTTGGCCGAAAAACAAGCCAGCTCTTCTGAGTCAGCGGTAGACCGCCTCACCAGGGGGAAAAGTCAGTCTTAAGCATCTGATATTTAAAAAGGGTTAGCAATTACGGTAATTAGGGAGAGATCGGTAGCGGATCTCAACAGTTCTCGTGGCCTCAGTGAAACGTCAGCGCCGTGTGAAGCGAGCTTATAGTGAGTAAGCTTTCCGTAGTCTATTCAGGCAAGAGTGGGAGCGAGGCGTGTGTAAACCAATTAATAATCTAATCACGTTGACGATATTAATACAGCCTGTTAACGCTGGGAATATTGATGCTGGCCGGTTAGAGATACGGCTCGTCTTTGCGTGCGCATTACGCGAGTGCCTATATCGCTGCGTGTGTGGCGCGGTGCCTCGTGTGCGTGTGTTGCATGCGTGCGCGTGTGGTGGCGCGTGCCTAGCGTGCGCTGTGGTGCATGCGCTGTGCGCGATGCTTACGTGCGTGTGTGCATGGCGTGCGCCAGGTGTAGTGCGCCGTGCCATACGTGCGATGTCGTGCCATGCATGTGCCGTACGCGCGGTGCCTAACGTGCGTGTGCGTGTGCATGCGTAGCGCGTGTTGTGCACGCTGCACTGACGTGGCGCTGTTGTGCGCGTGCCGCGTGTGTGTAGCGTGCTGTAGTGGCGTGTGGGTTTGGCCGCGGCACATAGTGGTTCTACATATAATGCGCGACGGTGCGCATCCGACTACGTTTAAAGCACGTCGGCGAGTCCAGCGACAAACTGTAGGGCGGGCAGTATACCCGCCAGTCTTGTCAGCTTGAAATATTGTCGGAGACATCAGAAGAAGCTTGTTCAGTCATTACCAAGGACCGCCGGAGTTATTGGATATAACTCACCCGCTGTTTACCCGTTGTCTATAACAAGATGACAGCCACTCAGCCGTTTCTCCGGGAAATCTCTGCTCTCTCTCTCTCTCTCTCGCGTCGACATCGTCTCTCTAAAATCTCTCGTGTTTCTCGTCGTCGTCTCTCCGTCTCCGTCACGTTCCCCTCTCCTCTACTCTCTCGTCTCCGTCTCGCTCGGCTGTGGCTCTTCCTTCTCTCTAGCTCTCGCTCTCTCTCGTCTCTCCTCTCTCCTCCTCTCTTTCTCTCGGGAGGGTCATCCTTTGTCTCTCTCTCTGACTCTCTCTCTTCTCTCTCCTCTCTCCCCTCCTCTTCCTCTGCTCAGGCTCTCCCTCTCGCGCGTCGCCTCTCTCCCTCCTCTCCCGTCTCATCTAAACTCTGTCCCGTCGCGGACCT